GCTCCAGTGTCAGTGGCGTTTGGCGCTGCGCTCAGTTCTCCTGGTGACCGGAGGAGCCCGTGGCGAGAGCATGGAGGGCTCACCGGCCGGGAAACACTTCGCAGGCCCAGCGCTGTTTGCACTGTCCGGGGCCGACGTTCTCAGCTGACACCCAGGGAAGGCCCGAGGGACTGTGTGCGGTGGTTTATCCGAACCGTGTTTCAGGGTAAGCACACTGTGAGGAGATGGGAAAGCTTTTTCTCGTCTCTGAAATGTAACTGGACTTAGAAGGATATTGGAAGCAAGGCCCGCTGGGAGCAACGCTGCTCGCCCCACCTTTTGCGTGGCTCGCTGGGCGGGCTTGCTGTTGCGGGAAAAGTGGAGAGAAAGGTGGTCGTGTAGACACGTTGGGTGTTGGAAGCGCACCTGCTGCGGCCCAGGGGCGGCGGACACAGATGGCGGCCCGCGTCCCAGGAAACGGTAATGTTAGGACAATGAGTGGTCACAGGAGAAATAAGTCAGCGGCAAGGTGAGGCCATGGGGAGCTTCTGTTAATTGAGCCGGGGTTAAGGGTAGAGCAAGGACTGGCAGTGGTGGTGACTTTTCACGGAGAGCTGCCTGCAGGAGGGACGGCTGCTTCCCGCTGTGCGGCACCGGGGTGTCTTGCCCCCCCACCCCCCATCTGCTGAGCCCTCGATTCTGAGGCCGAGGCCGCGATAAGCACGAGGAAACTTCTGCTTCCACTTCCTGAGAACAGTGTGTCGTGTCAATTGAGAACAACAGAGTCACTTGGAGACGTTTTAATCAGAGGAGGAACCGGTCTCGTGAGCCTGGAGGGACGTTGGTTCACGTGAACAGAGGACAGTGCTGACCCCTTCGTGTTGTCCCCGTGGGGCGTTGCCTGGGTTAGCGAATGCTGGCTGAATGGTGGGGCCGTTGTGCGTCACCGTCATCCCCACCGGAAGTGAGTGCCAGCAGCAGCTGCCCCAGCGCCCGCTCCGTTAGGTTTGGGGCATTGGATCCCCTCCCTTGGCTCGCCCTGTGGCAGTGACTCAGCTGTGCCCCTGACCAGCAGCCTCACCGGGGAACTTGTTAGAATTTTGGATTCTTGCCCGGCCGGCGTGGCTCAGGGTTGAGCGTCGACCTATGTAAGAACCAGGAGGTCAGGGTTCGATTCCCAGTCAGGGCTCCTGCCCAGGTTGCTGGCTCGATCCCCAGTGTGTGGCGTGCAGGAGGCATCCGGTCCATGATTCTCTCTCATCTTTGATGTTTCTCTCCCTCTCCCTCTCCCTTCTCCTCTGATATCAATTAAAAAAAATAAAAGAGAGGGAAGACACGTTTGTTTTCAGAGACACGTCCCAGCCTCTGGACGGGGCAGGACCTTCCTCCCTGCTGCCTGTGGCACCAGGTGACCCTTCCTCATACAGAGGAGAGCGCCCAGGGAGGGCCTGGCCACGAGTTAGGGGACCCCGGTGCTCAGTGCTGCCCTTCCACGTGTGGCAGGGCTGCCTGTGAGTGGCTGGCCTGTGCCCTCTGGGCAGAACGGCCACTCCCCCGTCCCCCGCCCCCCGCCTGTGACCTCTGCCCCGTCAGCATTTGCTGAGTGAGGTTGGCTTTGGCTTAGATAAAGCGAGGGCATGTGTGATGGCACGGCTCACTGGGCAGACCTGCGTGTTTCCTGGCCCTTTGGACTCTGATGAGCAGGCTCAGATGTCACTGCTGACGGGCCTGGAGCCGGACTGTGTGGTGCAGACCTGGCGGGGACTGCCGCGGGTCCGATGAGTGTGAGAGGCCCGGCAGCTGTGTGCACCGACGTCTCACCATGACGTCTGCCAATGGCCGCCTTGGCGGAGCAGGACTGCACCCACTAACACACTCACATGTACACACTCACACATGCATACATGTACACACACTCACAGACATACATGCTCACACACACACACACTCATATACATAGCCACGCCCCCACATGCACACATGTATGCACATTTGTCTGCACACTTATGCATGCTTATATACACATGCATTCATAAACATACGCACTCAACACATACATGCACATCCCAAATGCACACTCAGATACATGCACACACTCCTCCTGCACACACATGCATACATGTGTGCACATGTGGACACACGTTTTAACAAGTTGCACACGTGCTCTTCTGCTGCGACGCGGGCACTTGGTAGGAGGCCACAGCACAGGCGTGAAGGGGGAGACGCAGGTGCAGCTGGGAGGGCCAGGCCCCCACCGTGGGCTGCTCAGTCCCGGACGGACGCTGCCCCGAGGCTGCCCTGGGCACCCAGGCCTCAGCTCTCGCTGCTGCGTGTCCGTGGTTTCCATGGGCTCCCAGGGGCTCCCCAGGAGCGGCGAGGCCGGGCTGCTTTTCTCTCTGAAGCTGCGGTGGTGAAAGGCGGCCGCGTTTCACCTCCTCACACGCCGAGCAGCTGGCAGCTGGCAGCGAGGCGGCATCGGCTCTGCCCACGTCCGGCCGAGGCTGTGAGGGGTCAGCTCAGCAGGCGGCCGGCCGCTCTGTGGGGAACGGAGAAGAAAGACCTCGCTTTGCTGTCCTTCCTGGAAAAGACCTTCCCTCGGCCCTGGACTCAGACCCTCAGGGAAGGGACTCTTCTCCCTGGGACTCTGCGGGAACCAGGCTGCCTGCGTGATGTCCTGCGAGCCTTTGCCGGGGCCCCGCTGCCCGCTGTGGCGGGGCGTGCGCCCTCCTCGGCGAGGGGCGGACGTTGGGGCTTCGTTCTCTGATTTCAGGATCGGGGACCGAGCCCTACGCACACACGGGGTCTTACATGTGAATGAGTTTCACAGGGGACGGGGGTGCGTGTGGTGGAAACGGACGCGCAGACAAGCACGCGGCCGGCTCTTGTTGGAGCCTCTGGCGCACCGCCGTCCGTCACCTCCCTTCCTCCCACGCTGAACCGGGACCGGGAATGTGGGTGTGTGTGCTGGTCTGCGTGCAGGCGGGCCCTGGGGCAGGGCCTGCCCTGAGCGCCACTCGCGCGTGAA